GGTTTGATGTAACTCCTGAGGCTTTCTTTCTCCTTTTGGCGAATGCTAAATAGTGACAGGGAGGTTTTTTTGCACTTCTTTGAGCTGGCGAACTGGTTCATGAAAGCCTTGGCAAATTGCTCGAAAGATTGTACGCTCCCGGAAGGCAGCAAACCGAACCAGGCCTGAGCAGATCCGGCTAGAGTGGTAGCGAAGGCACGACATCTCACCCCTTCTGTGAGCTGATGAAGCGATGCTGTATTGTTGAAACGGCTTAGGTGCTCGGCGGGATCCGATGTGCCATTGTACTCGAACGAAATGGGTCGGTAGTTAGCTGGTATGGGGTCATCATCAAGGTGTTTTGCGAAAGGGCTAGATCCCACGAGATCTCGCGCTGGCCTGTTCCGTAAGGCCTTTAATTCATTCATATCGCGTCTCAGGCTGTCTACCTCGGTCCTGACTCTATGACTATCGCCTCTTCGATTTTCCGAATAACTGTCGCCTTCGTCATCAGCTCGTCCCTCGTTCGGGGAATGTCTGGGATCCCTCCTGAGTCGGTTATCGTGAGGTAAACTTTGGGTGTAGTTTCTGATGGCCGCGGTGATCATGGTTTCCACCTCGTCTCGGGTATACGTGCGCTCATGGGGAGCCTGAGCGGGGGTTGTGGCTGGCCTTCTCGAAGCAGCTTCGCCATCCTGGAACTCGAAAGAGGGGCTGCTTGGAGCGAAGGGGATCCGGCCCTCCTTTTCAGGTGTAAGGAAGCTACACCCCGATTTATCTTTCTGAACGGACGATGGGTCAACCGGTGCACCACGGGCTACCGCATCCAAATCCTTCTGCAAATTCCGGGCGACTGCGTCTTCTTCGTCCATTCTTTCTCCACGTTCTCAGCTCAGATCTGGACTTCCGGGGGTAGATCTGATTTTTCCCGGAAGCTGTTTTTCCAAAACTTCAAGCTTTCCCACAGACGGCGCCACTTGATTTAGTCCGTGGGGCTCTTCCTCGCGTCCTCTAAGCTCTCTGTCGGATTCCGGTAGAAAAAAGACCTGCAACGCCGGGAGGTGTTCCCGGCGGGAAAGCTCCGACGATCAAGTCAGTATGATTTCAAAGCGAGTTTTTAGAAAGTACGTAAAAGTGTGTGAAAAATGTATATTATCTGTGTGGAAAAACGCAATATCATTCCCTATTTATAAATGAGGAAACCTTGGCCTCCAAGGTTTCCTTTTTAGGGTTTTTTCCCCCCTCAAGCCATTGTGTGTATTGGGCCTTTTATAACCCTGGGCTCGATTTACCACGAGCCGATACTGGGCCTGCGAGCCGAAGTTCCTCAGTTCGTCGTTGAGGTCGTACGACCTAATGGTCTTTTTATATCATGGGGCTGAATTGCCATGGGCCTTTTGTCGTGGGCCTAATTCGTATTGGATCTTTCCAGAATGGCCCGTATCACCTGCAATTAAAAAAAAAGGTAAATATTCGAATTATTTAAGATGCAGTGGGATCCGCGGAGCTGACACGCCGGAATATTCTATTCCGACACAAATTCTGCCGTAGGTTTCTGACGAGGCAATCCTACTTTTTCCACGTGACAACCCTATTATTACACTCTCTCAACAACTTAATTTAATTTGCAAAATTGGAGTCATAATTCTTTTGTTATGTAAAAAAAAATGACTATTACATTTTATGTTATTATAGAGAGAATATTATTAATAATTATTTACATTATTGCATTTCATGAGTAGTCTAAGAAGATCTTGAGATTAAACCTATCAATATAATGTACTTCCATTTATCATGCCATTAAACACAAAAATTAGCCAAATCAAGTAATATAAATAAGTGATTCTATAACATAAACCGTGAACTTAATTAGAGGATGTTTGTCTGAGCTTATAAGCAATTAAAAAAAACTCATAATATGTTTAAGAACTTATAAGTTCTCTCAAATTGGTAGGTAATTTTTTTTTAAATCTTAAAATCCAAAAATTAAGTTGCTGGAGATCGAGCTTTTTAGATTAGCTCTAAAAAGTATCTATAATCTTACTTACAATGAGTAAAAATAGTTTATAAAATTATATTATCGTCCTTCTCTTAAAAATAAAATTTAAAAATAAGATCAGCTCATAAAATAACTTATCACGTATAAGAGTTTATCAGCTGTTGAAAGTAAATTAAGTCAAACGGGCTCTTAGTATGAATCCTACGGCAATAATTAATATTAATTGTTCTTGGACTTAGAAGCTCAAGAAGATGTACGAGAACTTCTCATTTCATAATTAACATGGTTCATGGTAATTAATATTCGGATGTTTAAATAAATATAAGTCCAATGAATATATGATGTATTAATTAAAACCGTAAATTGATAAAGAATATATTCCATGGAAAATAATATACCAAATTAAACCCCTCGAACTTTTACTAGTACACAAAAGATTTATTTTCAGATTTTGTTCCTATTTTAATTCTTTGCATATATATGTAACGTTGCCAAATATATAACTTTTCTTGGCAATTTTCTCACTTAAAAAAATTGGCCAAATCAAGTGTATATATATATATATATATATATATATATATACTCTCCTCTTAACCCCTCTCTCTCTCTAAAATATATACATACACACAAATTTCTTCTTTTCCATCTTTGTCCCTCCTCCACCCTTTCCTCCTCCCACAGCCGCCGTACCTCCGCCGCCCCTCCGGCAGGAATGGTGAAGTTCTCGAAGGAGCTGGAGGCGCAGCTAATCCCTGAATGGAAAGACGCGTTTGTGAACTACTGGCAACTCAAAAAAAACGTCAAAAAAATCAAGTTGGCAAGAAAACCGAAACACGTCCCGGACTCGAACTGCGGATTCTTCGGACGACCTGTTATCGACCCGGTTCGAATACTCGTCGGTAAAGTATCCGAATGGGCTAATAACGGCAGAGATAAACCAGAAATCATTCAGGTTACATATATTTAATTATAAATTTATAATCTCATTTTTTATTTTCTTTTTCCTTTTTTTTGTAATTAATTAGTGAGAGAGAGAGAGAGACAAGCTGTTTTCTAACACACCCTCAAAAGGTGGCAGAAGATGTGTAATTTTGTTAGATGTTTTACACGAAACAATATAATATAATTATCAAAAATAAGATTGCAATAATATATAATGACGTCATTATTCAGAAAGTCGCACTTTCTGGTATTTTTTCTCTTTTATAAAAGCGCTAAAGCAGGAAACTGGTTTTCTGTCATGGAGTAATCGTGAAAAGGAAAACAACAACTTCAACAACCTAATTAATTTTTTTTAAATGTGATTACTAAAATTTAATCCTTATTTATTAATTTACTTAATTGCAGGTTAAGAGCAAAATTAGTGGTGGTGAAGAAGAAGATGGAGAAGATGAATTTCAACTCTATGAAACTGAGCTTGTTCAGCTTTTCTCTGAAGAGGATGAGGTAATATAATTTTTTTTTTTTTAATTACTAAATTATTATTATTATTTTTTAATTTCCTTCTAACGTGCATTTTGTGCATGAATGCAGGTTAGGGTTTTCTTTGAAAAATTGGATGATGAGCTGAACAAAGTGAACCGATTTTTCAAGACGAAGGAGGATGAATTCGTTGAAAGAGGAGAATTGCTGAATAAGCAGCTGCAGATTTTGGTGGATCTCAAGGGGGTATTAAGTGATCGCCGCCGTAAAAATCTAGCTGGCAAGGGTGGCGCCGCCGCCTCTGGATTTGTCTCTAGGTCCGATTCGGATTTTTCCGGTGAGTTCCTCTCTCTGAAATTGAAGTTGATTATCACGGAATTATAATCGGGCTGGGCCGGTGTGGGCCCGGTGAATTTGGGGAAATTGTGAATAAAATCTCACATCAATTTTTGTGTGTGACCTAACCGTACAGAAGATTGCCGGAGTGAGCATTGTGAAAGCCCAAGCGATTCACAGACAGATGACGCCGTTAGTGTGGAGAAGAGAGGCGTTAATTCCGTCAATTCGCCGCGGCGGTCGAAATCGAGGAAGGGGAAGCCGAATACGGCGGCGGCCATGAGAATAGATATTCCGGCGACGACGCCGGCGCGGACAATTGCCGCCGTCACATCAATGCTGTGGGAGGATTTGGTGAATAACCCTAAGAAAGGAGGAGGTGGAGATGACGTCAACAGAAAGAAGATTCAGTGCGCCGAGAAGATGATCAGAGGGGCATTTGTGGAACTCTACAGAGGTTTAGGCTTGCTCAAAACATACAGGTTTTTTGTCTTCTCCAATTTTTTTTTTTTTTTTTTTTTGCATTATTAAATTATTTAGGGGAAACAAAATTGAAGGTTCCTGCAATTTAATTATATTTGTAATTAGTGTGATTTTTTTGGCAGTTCACTGAATATGATTGCATTCACAAAGATATTAAAGAAATTCGACAAGGTAAGCCCCCAATCATTTAATTCATTATAATTAATGATTTAATTCTAAAATTGTTGATTCGACAAATGTGTTTCATTTTGCATGAACAGGTATCGAATCAGCAGGCGTCGGCAAGTTACCTCAATGTAGTGAAAAGATCAGATTTCATTAGTTCAAATAAGGTATGAATAATTTGCTTGCAATTTGAGAGTATTGCTTTATTAGATCCTTTCTTGTAGAAATAGAATGCTCGGTATTTTTCACTGACTAGTTTTAGTTACTAATTCGAGCTTCCGTTTTGTAGCAGAGTAGTTTATAATTGTTCATTCTTAGTGGTTTAATTAATCAAAAATTGTACGTTGTATTGTGGGAAGGTGGTCAAACTAATGGACGAAGTGGAGACTTTATTCACGCAACACTTTGCAAACAATGAAAGAAAGAAAGCAATGAAGTTCTTGAGACCCACACACCATAAAGAATCTCACATGGTTACATTTTTTGTTGGTAAGGAAATATGCCGTTTTAGTATGTTTATGATATTTATTTTATAAATTTTATTTATAAATAGAAAAAAAAATCGAACTCTCATGGGCCTGAGTCTTTTCGGTATGACCAAGTTATTTGACCATATGATCTCTTACAAGCTCTAGTTATAACATCATATGTCAATTTTAGATTGGTGATACAAAGATTTTTAGTTCGGAATTCTGTGTTTGTTGTTGCAGGTATATCCACAGGCAGTTTTGTTACATTGTTCATCCTTTACGCAATATTGGCACATCTGAGCCGTATGTTCTCTCCAGCAACAAAACAAGCTTATATGGAAACTATCTACCCTGTTTTCAGGTTAACTTTTCTCTTATCTCTTGCAAAAGTAAAATAAATAAAAATGCTCAATGCTAAATCTATTATTATGCGTATGCAATGTGCAGTATTTTTGCATTGCTAAGCTTGCACTTGTTTATGTACGGGTGCAACCTCTTCATGTGGAAGAGCACAAGGATCAACTACAACTTCATATTCGAATTTCAACCAAGCAATGCGCTCAAGTATAGAGACGCTTTCCTAATTTGCACCTCTTTGATGACAGCTGTCTTCGGGGCTATGGTCATCCACCTAATCTTACTCTCCAAGGGCATCTTCTCTCGTCAAGTCGACTTCATTCCCGGGATTTTGCTTTTGGTATATTTTCATATTTTTTTAATGTATTCATAGTTTTTGACTTGTTCAAAATCAAGAACGAAGTAGGAAAACTAATCAAGAAATTTAGACAGTTTTTTAATGATGTTGTTCTGTATGGAAATTTCAGTGTTCGGTTCTAATTCTGATATGCCCGTTGAACATCTTCTATCGGCCAACACGGTACTGCTTTCTTAGAGTCATACGAAACATTGTTTGCTCTCCATTTTACAAGGTACTTCTGAATGAGAATAATGCATTATATATTCGATTATCTGCTTCCCATGTGTCTAATATAGTAAAATGTTGTATGTAGGTTTTGATGGTTGACTTCTTCATGGCTGATCAACTGACAAGTCAGGTAGCCTAGCCACTCTACTATACTATCATTTTCTAGACAATTCGAAAAAAACGATGGCACCTTTTTTTTCCCCTAATCTTGATTTTTATTTTCGCAGATTCCATTACTAAGGCACATGGAATCAATAGCTTGCTATTTTATCTCCGGAAGTTTCAAAACACACCGTTATCAAACTTGCAAGTCCGGGAAGCTCTACGGGGAACTTGCTTATGTCATCTCCTTCGCGCCCTATTTCTGGCGTGCAATGCAGGTATGTATATTTTATCGAATATTTCCAACATACTGAATCAATTTTTTTCGTTTTTCCATTTAACATGTGACGATGTATGTTGTAATATCTTTTTAGTGCGCGAGAAGATGGTTTGATGAAGGTAACCCGGACCACCTTGCTAACCTTGGTAAGTACGTCTCGGCTATGGTGGCAGCTGGGGCTAGGCTAACGTACACCAGACAACCGTCACAGCTGTGGATGGTTATAGTTATAGTGACATCACTAGTGGCGACAGTTTATCAGCTGTACTGGGACTTCGTTAAAGATTGGGGTTTTTTTGACCGAAAATCGAAAAATCTTTTTCTCAGAGATGATCTTGTGCTGAAGAATAAAGGCATTTATTATGTATCCATTGTGAGTTCTCGTTGTTTTTTTTTTTTTTTTTTTTTTCCTTGTGTAAAGAAAAGATCGGAGCTTATGATCATATGAAATTTTATTTCCCAGGCTTTGAATTTTGTACTAAGACTAGTATGGGTGGAGACTGTGATTGGATTAAATATCGGGATGTTGAAGACAAGGATGCTCGAGTTTTTCCTGGCTTCTTTGGAGGTCATTCGGCGTGGACATTGGAACTACTACAGGTGAGAATATCAGAATCAATTTAGTAAAATTGCATTATTTGAATTGTGTATAATAATATTAATAATAATTCAGATTGGAAAATGAGCATCTGAACAATGTTGGCAAGTTCAGAGCCGTGAAGACAGTTCCGTTACCATTCAGGGAGATGGACTCTGATTGACGAAATATTAAACGGCACTTGTTTTGTACAATCGGAAATTTCTAACAGAAATTTGATTGTGTGAATATAATATCGGCATGAGAAATATATGTCTTTGTATTACAGTTGATAAGAAATCAAATTCATTTAACATGACGAGATTTTTTCTTGTTGGCATTGTACATAGTATTTGACATTCCTATATTGAAACATCAACTTTGTTTCAATTCTCTCTTCTTCTTTCTCTCTCAATAAATATTTTAGGACTGGGCATTCAGATCGGGATTAGGAAACCCATCCTATCCCATTCGGAATTTTACTTATTGGGTCGAATCTTTTTCGGGATTTCAGAAAATCCCATTTTTTAAGACAATTTGCTGCATCATCAATGAACATCAACTTTAAGACAGTGAAAATCACACACAATTTGACGGTTCCAAAGCAAATGTTTCAACAAAAATACACACAATCCAATGTGTACTAATACACATGTACGAAACACCATAGCATTCGACATTAGATAATTCCCACATATAATATTCAAAAAAAAAAAAAAAAGATCATATTATACAGTACCTATAAACATAGCAGAATTTTGAAAAAAAAAAACACCACAATAAAAAATAAAAACATTTAGGAAAAGAACAAGCAATAAGTCATTGCTAAATCCATGGCACTCTCTCTCTACAGCAAGTACCTCCACTGAGCAGGACGATCTTTCGATATCAGCAAAACCCTCGAAGACGAATAATCGAAAGAAGGATAATACATATCATCCGGCCCAATAGCTTCTTTCACATTTATCGGGCTCTTTAAAGACATTAATCCATCTTCCTTAAACGAGTCGAAAACAAACAAACCAAGCCCGCAAACTCCCATCACAAAGTTCGAATTTCCCCAAACCTGCGCAAGTGCTGCGTAGGTGCTATTAGCATTCGATTCCGGCAAAGCAAACGTGCTCACAATCCTCTGTTTGCGCAGCGAAAACTGCTGGATTTCCGAAGAGTACTGCTTCTTCGCAGCTGATTTTAAACTCGAGCATCCAACGAAAATTGAATCTCCACGAGAATATGCTGACTGTACGCTCACTCCAACTTTCGGTATCTTAAGGCCTATACCAGATGGGCTCCGAAAATCTAGCACGTTGATCGAATCAGAAGTGCAAAAAACACCGTCGTTTCCCTCTGCTTCCGCCGAACTAATTCTGCATTAAAAAAAAAAACATGTAAATATGTATATAAAAAAAATATCGATTCTTGAATTAATAACACGTTACCTTCGTCTAACCCCTCCGCCGATTTCTGCATCCGTATTATTCACATGAAGAGCAGTAATTCTCCGACCAGACGAAGAAACAGACATCAATGCCTGAGAATTAAGAGAGCTGACATCCCACAGAGAAACAGCATCCGATTCTGCAATTACCACTTTTCCTCTGTTTCTCCACTGCACAGGGTTAGCGTAATCCATCGCCATCACAGGCTTTTGCAGCTCCCATTTCATTACTTTCTCCCCATCTCGAATATCGTAAATTTGGACCGTCCTCTGACAGCTGGCAGCTGATGTAATAAGTGGGCCGCATGGACTATACCACCATTGTCTGTTTTCAGTAGCCATGGTAGTGAACATAGCATTTCTTTGATACATATTGTTGTTCGATAAAGGAGCGAGGACGGTGTTCACACATGTGGCTTCTTCGTCATCCATATGAAAAGCTCGTACTTCTTTTGTGTAGAAATCCCATGAGCAAAAACCCGTGTGGATCGAATTTCCGGCCGATGCCGCTACAACATATCTACCGGAGCATCCATCTGCACTCGGGGCTCGGATTATCCAACAATCTTGCCACATATTTGGTACCGCTCCACTCGGGGGCTTGTATTCAGCCTTCTCCTAAAAAAAACAAAAAAAATAAAAAATCAATCTTTTTTCGATAACTAATTCATTCAGCTAAATCAAGAATCAACAAAATGTTACAACGTACCTCACAGTTAGTAATGTCGTAGTACGAACAAGAGCTGTCATCGTGTGCAAGAAGAACAGCCTCTCCTTCTGAGACAAACCACCCTCCGGTCGATGTTTTGAATCCGATATCGTTCAACTTGTACTTACAATTTTCTTCCACCTCCTCTTCGAATTTCATGGCTGGTTCTCTCTCTTGGTCGTCGAATTCGTCGAGATTTTCGTCCGCAATCAGCATAGCCTCAATATCAGCTTCGTCTTTCAACGCATTTAGAGAAGAAGTTTCTGCTACAGAGGATGTAGAACTATCCATTTCTTGAACCTTACTTTCCCCTTCACCGACCAGCGATTCTTCCTTTCTCAAATAAACCGGGAAATTCAATGCAATAGAATTATCCACATTAACCTCGGAATCTCTGGATATTATTGCTTTTGATAACGTCCGATCTCTCATCAACTTATGATGAGGAAATAATCGTGCTTCCAACTCTTCAGCCTTCAAACCCTTAACGAGACTTTTAGCATCCATAACTTCCTTATCTTCTTTTCTATTCCGATTTTCTGTACTTTTCACTAACCCTATCTTTCCATTTTCGTCACTAGTAACATGAACCATCGCCCGCTCGATTCCTGTAATTTTTTCCTGAAGATCGGACAAGATCATCTTGGAAGCATCCGGATTGTTCATATCCAATATCTCTTTAGTCCTGCTTATGTCGGTCGCGATTCTCTTCACTTTTCCCTCCAAAAAGGCAAGTTTTTCGTGGAGCTTACTTGGATATTTGTTGGGAACATTTGCTCTGACGATTCCTGCAAAGTTACCGTCTTTGTTTGTAATTTTCGACTCCCCTGTACTCAACCCAGACGGAACTCCAGTAGTGCAAGATTTCGACTGTAAACTGGATTCCTCATTCGAATTCTCAATATTCGATTTTTTCACCATTACCGAACCCAGACTCTGCTCTTTACCGTTTGATTCCGTACTATAAGCTAACCCATTTTCTTGAAAATTACCTTTCAACTCCTCCAATTGTTTCCCATTTTTCTTGAAATCATTCGAAACCTTTTTCTCAAGATCTGAAATTCCTTTCATATAACTACTCTCATTATTCACAAATAAAATCTTGTCTTTCTCCTTTACTTGAAACCCACCCACCAATTCACCAAGAACCTCCTTATTTTTCACAGGATCTTTCGAAACCCTTTTCTCAATATCAGATTTTTGACAGTATTTTTCATTCAAACCCTTCAAATTAACACCGTTTACTTTCCTCTGAGATGGGCCCACAGAAACCCTAGAGGGATTTTTCCTCAAATCGGATAAAACCCTAGTGAACTCAGATGGACTAGAGCTCCTACCTCTCGGAACCGACGAAGTCGACCACCTTGAATGTGGCTCCTCCACCGCCGGAGCCGCCGCCGCCGACTTGTCTGTCCGAGCCATGGGACGTATACTGGGCTTCTGGGTTGCAGATCGAAGCCGAGATGTTGGCCTGGGATTCTCCTTCCCTGTGGAAACAGACTTCCCGGTAGCTGGGGATATTTTTCCGGTAGGAACTGCGGCTATTTTCCCAGCGCCGGCGCTGGCGCCGACGCCGCGTTCTTGAACCCGGCGTGCCGATGACGTGGACATCTTGGAATGAAAATTAAATAGTGGTACTGTTTCTGTGCGTTTTTTCTAGTGTGTTGTAGGTGTGCAAATGGGGAAGAATGTGAAAATATGGATTTATTTGATTTTTCTTTAATTTTTCGAGGAATGGGGGGAAAATGCAAATCTTTTGGGATTTTGAAAATATTTGGAGAGTCGTCACTTCACAAACAGCGATTTTAAGTATATATATTTTGATGATTGCGACTTGTGCTTTACCAATAATTTCAGTGTTTGACAGATCTACTTTCTTTATTTGAAGAGATAATAAATAAGCGAAAAATACAGTTTCTACCCCTCAAGTTTACACAAATTTCATATTTGGCTCTCTTTGTTAAAAAAAAATACATTTGGTTTCTCATATTTCAAAACTTCGACACTTTTAGTCTTGTTCGTCAATTTTTCGTTAAAACTAATGGAACCAAACGTGTGCCCATCACTACCGTAAGTGACGGAATAACGGTTAATTGACGGAAATAATCAAAAGTGCCAAATTATTGAAACATGGGGGCCAAATGTATTTTTTGTAAACATAAAGGATCAAATATGGAATTATTATAAACTTGAGGGGTGAAAACTGTAAATTTCCCAATAAATAATATTAATTTAATTTCCTAAATTAGTTTTTTAAGTTTTGTACAGAAAAAATGAAAGAGAATATCGGGGAAGCATCTTTCTCGAGCTAGTTGGATTCATTGACACGTCACCACAGCGATATTTCGAAGCCACGTGTCACCATTTCAGCCCATCTCTTCAAACCGAGTCCACCAATAAAAAGAGCTCGACTGCACACTGTGCATTTTGTATACAAACAAACACCTTCCCACCACACATTCAAAACACACACACACACACACCGACGGAACTCAATCGGCAGCAATGGCTTCTCTACTTCACCCAACACTTCCTCTCTGCCGCCGTCACAATTCGCCGTCGATAATAACCACCTCAATTTCCGCTTCCGGCGAATTTTCATCAATCCGCCGCCGGAGAAACTGTAATTTGAAGAAAGGAGGTGGCTGCCGGTCATCTTCAAGTGACGTCACATTCATTGAGCCTCCCTGGGCTGCACAGTCCAAAGCAGAACTTATTGCTTCCCTCAAGATCAAGTTATTGGTGTGTATTAATTCATTCATTCCCAATTCTTAATTATTTTTATTTGTTTCTAACTGAATCGAATCGAGTCGAGCCGAACGCATGTTTGTTTAAACTTGATTTCGTTTGCATATTTAATATTTTTTGTATGATCGAGCTCCGAACGAACTTAATAGCTTATCGAATGAAAGTACGTGTTCAAGCTTTGTTGGTCAAACAAATTAAGCTCAAACGAGCTTTTAACGAATGATCTCGAATTGAATATCGATTGAAATTGACTGAATTTATGTTGCTTGTGTCAAATTGATATCACGAGGTAAGGTCAAATTACAAAAAAAAAACCCTCTTATTTGGGTAATTGCAACCACCTCTTCAACTATAAATCTTTCTTACGCCTCCACCTTATCGGTGTCAAATTTAGTGGAATCTTCTAAATTATGTGAGAATATTGTTTAAAAACCTTCAAAAGTTCATTCAACTTTGATACTCTTTCTTGCAATAGCAGAGTTAATTGAGCCGTGATTTGTAATTGCAGAGTGCTGTTTCTGGATTAAACAGAGGACTCGCTGCGAATGAAGACGACCTTCGAAAAGCTGACTCCGCAGCAAAAGAACTCGAAGCAGCTGGCGGCACAGTCGATCTCTCAGCCGACATTGATAAGCTACAAGGCCAGTGGAAACTCATTTACAGCAGTGCTTTCTCGTCTCGTACTCTCGGCGGCAGCCGCCCTGGCCCACCCACCGGAAGACTTCTCCCTATAACCCTCGGTCAAGTATATATAATACCCCTCCTATTTTCTCATGAAATTTTCGACTTCTTTAAAAATATCTTGTTAATCTTGTAGTAATACATTTCTGTTTTTGATATATAAGGTACTCCAAAGGATTGATGTCTTTAGCAATGATTTCGACAACATAGTCGAACTCGAATTGGGTGCACCGTGGCCTTTGCCACCTGTCGAAGTGACTGCCACCTTAGCGCACAAATTCAAACTCATAGGTATGAAGCTCTTATAAAAACTTTATTGTTACCATAATTATTTTCTCAATTCATTTATTTTTAATTTTATTGTAATAACATTAATTTAAAACAGGAAGTAGTGGAATAAAGATAGAGTTCCAGAAAACAACTGTAAAGACAACGGGGAACTTATCGCAGCTACCTCCACTCGAGATTCCACAGTTGCCGGAAAATTTAAGGCCGGCGACTAACAGAGGAAGCGGTGAGTTTGAAGTTACGTATTTGGATTCCGATACACGCGTCACTCGTGGGGATCGAGGAGAGTTGAGGGTTTTCGTTATCTGTTAAGTTTTGATTTTTGTTATATTTATATGTACATCGATTGTACGGAAGTATACAATTTTGGAACATACGAGTTTTTATGGAACTTGTCTTTCTTCTACACCATATTTGGGTACTGTTTTTTTGCAGGGTTAATTAATATATGCTACATCTTGTTTAATAAATATTTATTTTCTCTTTTATTTTAAATACTTTAAAGGTTATAATAATTAATATTTTCATGTAGTCCGATCCCTCAGCGTATGGTGAAGTCGATTCGCCGTGAGCCATTTTGTCCTCTGAAAAATAAGATAGCTTTTCAACTGAGATAACTCAACAACACATGTGTTCTACTAATGCTACTTCACCTTTTAAAAATGGTGTGCTGTAAAATAAACTCTATATAGAACGAACGAGCACTTTGTCCATTTATCCATTTAAAAAAAAAACAAAATGAATCGAATAGCACTACCTCCAATAATCTTCCTCAACGTGTCGATCAAATGGCATCCATAAAAACATTTTCCAAAACAGCTAATCGACACGTGTCTAATGATCTTCCAGCAAGTTTATGCAACAAAACCTGCATTGTAGTCTTCAAATGCTTCCTCTCGTTTGGCTCTTGCCATAAAGCTAACAGTACATCCGGTGGAAACACCGGTGCTGACTCAGCTTGAACTCGTGCACCGTCTATTTCCATTCCGTTCAATCTGCAAAATATTTTATTTTTTAACAAAATGATTATCTATATATATACACTGTACGTAATGTAACGTGTGCGAGTAAATCACCTGTTTATGATCTTTAACATGTTTGGCCACTCATCAAGTTCAAAGTGCACATCTAGCACACCGGGTGTTCTCGAGAAGGAAGCTCCAACTTTTCCGAGCAATCTACATTCCGCCAGAATATTCTTCATCTTAGATTGATTCCTCCCTATAATCCTCACCACTGTAGTTCTTGGTGAATCGACTCTCAGCATTACCAAACGCCTACCCAAAACATTTATCCATTGTTTTGCCAGAGCCCTTTCTTTCCCAATTTCCGACTGAAAATAAAATAGTAAAAAAATCTAAAGTGATCTACGATTTGAGAAAAACGAAGAGTAAAAACTTTATTATACCTCAAACTCAACATAAGCAACAGAATCTGAGGATCCCAAAAAATAACCGGATATATTGGTCTCACAGAATGACAGAGCTTCTTCAATATGATTTGAACTTATCTCACGGCTTAAAGATTCAATCTTTATTGTTCGAGTGGGATTCTTTACTAATGCAGCTGGGGTATTATGGTCACCAATCAAGCTAGGAATAGGAGTTTTTACGTTTCTTTTTCTCGTCGAAGAAGCTGATTCTACAGTCACAATCCCACCAGCAACTAGCAAACTAGTTTTTTTTAGTGCTTTGTTGAACCCTTCTCTCGTCTGCAGTCACAAAAAAATGAATAAAACGGGATCCAAAATAAATATAACAAACAAACGATAAACGAAAAGTTTCTCAGTTTTCAGCAGCATGTCTGAAAAATGAATGGCCACTGACCTTAAAATAAATGTAGCCAGATTTGAACAGAGAGGCTTCGGCGTAAGGAATTTCAACCTTCGATATTTCCCCACAACTCTCAAAACATTGAAATATGTGAGCATCAGTAGCGTTACTGCGCAGGAATCTTATTAATACTTTATTTTCCTTTGATTTTTGTCCATCAAAATGTGTCTTCTTTGTGGGGCCAGGTCTTTGCAAATTAGCTTCCGATGAGTTCTCTTTAACCACCACACTCACTTTGCTACTTGAACTAGAAGGTTCCGGATCCTCAGCCAGCCGCATAAAGTCGATCAAACCGGATATGACAGAACGTTTATCAGCATCCTCTGTACTAGGTTGTTCGTTTGAATTCTGGGTCATAGGTTGATGTGTAAAGGCGAAACTCCTCGGCTTATTATATTCAACCTCCCCTGTTGATTGGCCATTAGCTGATTTCGTAGGACAATCTTTTAAATCAAATACCTTTTGAATGCTATTGGATGGAGTCGAACTTTCACCCCCTTCGTACCTTACATTTTCACATTCTTGAAGATTGTTTTTGCGTTTATTATGAGGAAACTCCTTTGAATCACCATCTTGTGAATCTGGTTCACTCTCCAACGGACCGTCTGATAGAGACGAATATCCGGACTGTGTATCCATGTATTTTGCATAACTCAAGACAATGTCAGAGATTGTTTCCTCGGGTTTTGGTTCCTTATTCTCGGTCATGGTTCCGGTTGGAACATTTCTGAATAAATCTGTTAATGTCTTGGGCTTATTTGAGCCGCCATTTGCTGCCAATTCGTTCCTAATAAATGCTGACTTGGAGACGAGATCTTGTTTCTTCTCGGAATGCCTAGAGTTCGTTCAATCACGAAAGGGTTAATAAAACACAGAACAAGGTGTGGGTTGAAACGAAAGCACAAAAATTAACAGCCCATATGAACATGGAAAAAGCAAATTCATAGACAACATGTCCTCTTCATATAACCATATGCTAATCATTTAAACATGTAATCAGAACTCTAGTAACACAACACACACACACACACACACACACACACACACACACACACACACACACACACACTCACACTCACACACACACACACACACACACACACACACACACACACACACACACACACACACACACACACACACACACACACACACACACACTCACCCACACTTACACACACTCACACACAAACACAATGGGGAGCTAAAAAAAAAAGAATCCGGGTTCAAACTCAGCAGTAAAATTAGCATTTTATATACTAAATTTAAAAAAAAAAAAAAAAAAGATGATTTACTCTTGTGCAAATGGTTCCGCTGCCACGATACTCGTCTCCTGCTCAATAGATTCTGTATCCAACTGCGGTGGGTTGTCGTTGTCTACATTTGGCAGCGCAAAGCAACATCTCGTTCTTGCAATTGAAAACCCTGCAAAAAAAAAAAATCTGATGAATCAGTACAATCAAGGACGATTTAAACCGATAATACGAGAATCGATCCTTCTATATTTTGGTGAAGGAAAATGAGAAATACGTTTGTGGACATTTTTACCTAATCTGGAAATTTGAAGGCTCGATTTTGGTTTAAGGAGATGAAAGAGAGACATTTGCAAATCACATGAACATGAAAGTAGCAGCAGAGGGTTTTTCAGAGGTTTTAGTGAAAAAATGGAGAAATGTTGGGAGTGAAATTACTTAAGTGCCCCTACCATTAGGAAATCTATTATGCATTTATTTACTACGAAAATAGAAACATTTCGACCATAATTTTCTGTGATTAAAAATTAAGGGGAAATTGCATATAAACCCATGACACGCGCTTAATTAAAAAAGTGGACAAGCTACTTTTCTCTTTTGCGAATAAGTCCATTCCATCCAAAACAAACTCTACCATACCTACCAAAATTACCCCTAATCATTTTGGACACCCCTAGTTCGTGATTTAAACTTCAACGTACCCATTATTTCACATTAAACTCAATTTTAACAAATATTGTATATTAACCACATTTGACCAATTTTAGCTCACCGTTCCCCCACCACCACCACCACCCACAACCACCACCCCGGCCACCACCACCACCCACAACCACCACCCCCGCCACCACCCACCGCCATCACCAATTCAATAGAGTGGTAATTCTGTAATCACTTGATGAGTAGCAGTTCTGTAATTATTGTATGAGTGTGTCAAAAGTGTGTTGAAGTGTGTGTATATGTGTGTGGTTGGGTGTCAAAAGTGTGTATGTTTGTATGTGTGTGTATATATACGTGCGTTCGTGTGTGTGTGTGTGTGTGTGTGTGTGTGTGTGTGTGTGTGTGTGTGTGTATCTGTGTCAAAAGTATGTACAAGTGTGTTTTTATGTTGACCAAGTCTTCTTCTCAAGCAAATTTGATAAACCTGTGGGGATTCATGTGACTTGAATGAACAAGACTAGTCCTTGCATAAATGCATATGCAAAGTCTGAATATTTCTCATGAAGGACTGGGCAAGAGCTCTTAAGTCAAATTAATAACAAACACGAATCGAATACATTATAAAATCGAGTAAAATGTGTCTTCGCATTTTCATTATAATATACAGCAAAGTACTCGACGTGTGTATTTTCTACTTTAGCGTCTTCAAACTCTACGATGCTACTTTCTTTTCACTTGTTTTGCTCCGGAAGGGCGACAATAAAGAGAAATGACGAGATGCTGCGGGCAAAGTAGGAATTATTAGTAAATAATATTTTGTCGAGTGAAGTAAATAATATAAATAGGCGCAACCAAACTTACTCTTTTGTGGAGTATTGCTAGCAGTAGAGGTTTCAGCTCCCGAGATTAGACTCTTTAATGTGTGAACTGCATTATTAAACACTTAATCACTCACTAGATTGTCTATGTATGATTTTATATGAAATCTTCAAATTAAAGAAAAACACATTACCTTCGTTTGTTGAAGCCGTTTTCTCAATACCATCAACATTTTTATCTACTGACGACGAACTCCGATTCTTCCTTCCAAACTTCAAAAGGCGTCTAAAACCCTTTGGTGATTCCTTTACAGAAGTTTTCTTCGAAGTTGCTTGATTTCTGTCCATTTTGGGGGCTTTTACACCATGAAGTTGAGTTTTCGCAGTTTCTTCAGCTCTTGATAGCAGCTCCGGTTTTGCTAACGGTGCTTTGCTATACTCTGACTGACGAGTGCAATGGTCTTTCTCTGAACAGGCGGCAGTCACCTGACAACACAGCATAGTTGATTAGGATCCTAATTTAATATTTAAAACAGAGTAAACAAGGAAAAATACCTCATTATAATCTGATTGCTTTTGGACTTGGGAAGTTATAGATTCTTTATCAACTCGATACACAGTTGAAGGAGGAGCGTGTATAGGAGCCGACTCTGGTATCACAGTAGTTTTCTCTCCTTTGTCACGATAATTATGCTGCTTACTCCGTACCTCTGGTTCTCTTTGTGATGAAGACGAAGTTGGAAGAGAAGGCTTATTAGACTCAAGCACCAGAACAGTTTTCTCAACTACAGAAACGTCATCTGCATCAGTCTGGCGTGCTGTCTTATTATTACTTATATTTATTTCAGCATTTCCAGAAGGCCTTGTTGCATTTATCTTTTGGCTGTCCTTCACTGCTGATTTGCCCTCACCTCTATTTACGTGTAACTTCGATGTCTTGATCTTCGATTCAGGTAGAGTTGCAGTTTTACTTCTATCAGGGTTGACGGCAGCAGATACTTTGTTTCTCTCTGGACCATCAGACAACTTCCGCTTTAGTACCGATTCAGCACTTCGTGCTTTTATCGTAGTAAGAGGAGAGTTTGTGATTGTTTTAGGCTCTGATAACCTTCTAATCCGAGACATGGAGGCTTTAGTATCAGGTGTAACACCGTTGCTTTCTCTTTTCATCTCGGATATTGATGAAGAGGACCTGGTTACCCTATTCCCTGCCATGTGGATAACTTTGGAGGCTTTATATGACTCGGTTGATCCAGGCGAAATTCTGATTTTGGATCTCTGCAAGGGTGATGATAGTCCAGGCTCCGAATCACTGAACTTGGATCCTCTATTAGTTGTGTTCGAAAATTTTGGTTGCAATTGCTTTGTCTGAGGAGATGGTGTGGATACCTTTCCGGAGGTGGAACCGCCTCTAGCTGCAATTCTCTTTTGTCGCTGCAGCTTTAAAGATTCAATTCGCTTCATTTCTGTCTCTTCCTGTAAAGAATTAAAACTTTGGAATTTAGAAGTCTATTGATAAGAATAAAAATTGCATTATTACAAAATATAATTTATGTATGTAACGACAAGGTCCGTGAGGGCCTCAACTAAGCAACATGAAGAGGACTGAAAAATATACATCAATGTGTCATTCACTTCTAATTATGGTGTACCTTCTCTTTCTTCATTTTTTGCAGATTAGCTTTGTAGGATCTCAGACTTTCAGCCCGGGCTCGTGCCTCTTCTAAAGGACTCAGCTTCGACAATTTGCCCTTCCTAATAGCACCTCCACTTCTTTGTTTGTGCGAAGAGTCTGGAGTGACCTTTGACATCCTATCCTTGTCCGATTTCCTTGACCCACCCTTCACATCACTTGCATTTGTTTTCCCTTCCTCGCCTGACACTTTTGCACGGACCTGCATTTCGTAGTCCGGAGCAAGGTCATATCCGATGGACCTCTTATCTGTCCCGCGTTCAGGCCTCAAGCTCAAATCATGAGGCTCATAGTTTACTTTGCTCTTACTTCCCTTGGACTCCATCTTTTGGTACTTTGATGGAATCTCAGAATCTATGTTAATAGCAGTTCTATCAGTTCCTCCAACTTGATCTAATGACATTGACCTAAATGGCACAATCAAAGTTTCTTCTGCGATTCCATTTGAGGAATCTATATTTATTTTACCAACGGCACCCTCAAAACTGTCCACGGCTAATGGATCTGACGAATTCCTGAAATTCAAATGGTTCCGTTGACTGCCAACTATAAATTCTTCGTTCGACCTAAATAAAATCCCCCTTCCATTACTTTCGGAAGAATGGATGTCTGTTTCATCATTGCTTCCCTTGAAGTCATTATCTGCACCGGAAAATAAAAATTCATCACCTGATCCCCTGGGCCCACGAGACATACTTCCACTGATTCTGCGGATGTCTCTCATCCTAGTATCTTGTATTTCACCTTTATCCTGTGCACGAAGAGCCAATGTGTCATCACTTGCACTGTTTTTGTGTCTCTTTATCTTCACACCCTCATTTTCAGCTTGAGCATCTTCATCATTTCCTCTCAATAAACAATCTTGAAATGCCTGCCAGTGTCTATCATCAGTATCCTTTCCCAAAACAGAGACCTCGTCATTGCCCAAGTTCAACTTATCCCCAGACTTCAAATGGATTCCTCCACTTTTCGAAGATGCTTCATCAATATCCGAGTGTGAATCTGAGCTCGTTTCGCTACCAGTTTTCTTCTCTTTAGACGTGATATAATTAAGGTTTCGTATTACAACAGTGCCTGAATGCTTTCCATTAGAACCCACAGACTTTCTTCGTGGTTTTCGACTGTGTGAAACTTCTGCATCTGATGCCATGTCATCCAGCGATTCTGTTCTGTCAACATCTCTCGACCCTGACCCGTTATTACTGTTCCCAACATCAAAGGATTGCCTTTTCTTTCCTGAATGAGGACCAAAATCTGAAGGGGATTGCTCTGTAGAATAGTGATGTGGCTGATAAAAAGAACCATTTCCTGTGTAAGTCGGGTAGTATGGCATTCCTTGAACAGGGTACGCTTGAAATATGGGTTGGGCCCCACCGGGAGCATGCATAGGCCATGTAGGAAAAACAGGATGAGGAAACTGTCCTTGAAAATATTCGTGTTGACCATTTGGGGCTGGGCTACCTGCTGTAAGCCAAACAAATACATGATTACTCTACCATCTTCAAGAAGAAATATAGAAAGAAAGAAACCACTTAATTGAAGTAGAATACATTTTATATCAAATATAACATTGAGCGATTCTAGTGAATATTTTGTGCACTAAAAGACACTTCTAGAACAGATATACCACCTCTTGGCAACAAACATATAACGGTGTGTTTCATTGAGGTGGTCCAGTTTTAAGGCTAATTTCCCTCTGAACACCAACAGTTGGTTAAAAGGTGTTTCAATATTGCAACAGCTCATCGCCAAATAATATACTATTTCCTACTAAGAAATGATTGTAAAGCAACTCAGACGGTGTTAGACGTCAAAGTGAAATGCTATGGCGTATTGATATTTAATCGAATTCGATGGTAAGATTTAAGATATTCCGATGACACCCATACAGTAAAAGGTAAAGAGGAGACCAGGATTCTAAGCTAGTGAATAATTGATTACACATGTCATAGTAAATATGTTCAACTTGTGATATGTATTCTTTCTGAGGAGTTGAAGTAAAGAATTACCTGGAGAGAGGTAAAGTCCCTTCACTAACGGGTATGACAAGACAATATTTACAAAGGAAGGAAAATGGACTAATTTCAGTCAAACTAAAATACCAATAAGCAAAATATGTTCTATAGGATACACCAAAATTTGAAAACTCGAACCATGTTTCTGTAAGGATGCTAACATGTGACATGAAAACTAAAATATTTTATAGAGACGAAATAAAAGATGTAGTAATATGAAAATTAGTTGAATATAAGTAGAAAAACATTTATATTTTTGGTTAAACACAGGAATTTTCATTGGAGACCTTCAAAGACTTGATCTTACCAGAATTTATTGTTGATCCCGAATCCCCATTATTTTCTGCAGCCAGCTCAAGGTTGGATTTATCATGTTTGTTGGGTGTATGAGAGAGAACAACACCGGATGGCTTCATCGGAGACAATTCTTCAATATCAAGCCATTGCCCTGTTTCATGCTTACTCTTCCACAGATCCATGAACCTTGAGCATGCATGCCTGTTGAACAGATGGATAGAAATTTATAGACCGAGCTACCTCTAGCATTAAATGGTTCTGCTTCTAATCATGTATACACTTGCCAAAGAGGGGGCACAAGAAGAAGCTTACATTAAACGCATGGCTCCAAAGCTCTCAGCAAAAGTGACAAGAGGTGCGACGAGATCGATATCAAAACCTGCTGCTACAGCACGTGCAAAGGCCATTCCTTGTTCCTTTTGTAGCACTCTTTTACGTGTCTCGAGGACTTTGAGAAGCTGAACTCTGGTTCGGTAATTAAACAAAATAAATCAAAGTTGGTTCAACAAATCTTACATATTATTTCCTCGATCAATTATCTAAAGGTGAGAGCAACCACCAATCATAAATAACTAAGTCAAATTAACTTATTTTTCTCTAGGCAGGTGGCACTTTCTCAATGAAATCCCCGAGATGTTTACAAATACTCTCTTCCTTTATCTTAATTTTCCACTTTTCTTTTAGGTGATCAAATTGGATTGCAAGGGGAAGAAGGATGTATATAGGTGCATTGCCTTTTTTTGTCATCTGAAGACTAAGTTTTCAGAGTTTTCAGCATTAATCAGAACTACCCTATAACTCCAGGTGTCGATCCTATGGTAAACGGTCTAATCACTGCTAGAAGTCTAGAGATTTAGTTTATTCCTATATTCGTACAGGATGAACCTACAGTACAAATGAAAAGGACTCGTCAAAGAACATAGATATTGTAGGGTCTATTCTATGATGCCACTGCATTACATACTTTGAATTCCCCTCCGGTGAACTTGATTCATTGGCTTCAGGTGGTGGTGCCCCAGGCTGTCGTAAAAATGAGATGAAGTAAGAATATATGTATAAAGGGAATCAGAGGGAAAAGCGAGCTGAGTGCCTAGTCACCGTGTAAAGGACAATTGCGTTTTCCACATTAGCATTGGGCGAAGATTTTTCACCTGTCCATAATTTTATGTGATTAGTACAATATTACTCACTGCAAAAGTCACTGACAAAGACTAAGATGTTAAGTAGTTACATATTCTCAGCACTAATTTACACAGATAAGGAGAAAATGGGTATATCAATATAGATGCCCACACTCTGAACTCAAAAAGCCTCATATTTTCAACTCTACCTTGAAATCAATTTTGAAAAACAAAGGATGGGTGCAAGGGTACAAAAACACAAAAGATTCAGTAATTAATACAGTTGAGATATATCATGAAAAATTGTCCAAAACAAGAGAGATTCAAAGACACGAGCTGCGCCTCTTTAGAAAATGAAAATATCGAAATATAGAGTTCTGTTTTTCAGGTACCTTCATATCCACGTAGAGGTTTACTTTGTGGGGTTTCTACCTGTCAATAAAAGACTATTAAATAAGCAAACATGAAGTGACAAGCTTTGAGAAATATCACATATGTCAGTAGCTTACAAGTCGTTGCCCTGCATAATTGCTCCTTTGTGTGGAAATTGCCTCCTCGATCTGTAAGATTTCAGTTTCTATTGTGTAGACGCGTTCCAGGATCTCAGGAGTGCTCACAAAACGGACAAACCTGTTCGAAATAGCAAATATTAGTTCTTTCTTATCACCAATTCTTGGTAAGGACATGTAACAAATCCCTGGGGCAGAAACATAGCTCCACTCTTTTACAAGGATTAATGAAGACCATTCACCAAGTAATAGAAACGATATCTATGCCAAGTATTGGTAGTATAGATAAATAAGATGATTGATTGAACATTCGAATTAATGGTGTACCAGTCAACCCCATAGTTTCCGTAAGATTGATCATAAAACTTAGTGGCAAAAAAAAAAAAGCAACATATCCACTGGGTTTTTTTTTTAAGAGGGGAACTCCATATATTTAAATATTCTCCTTATATTTGAAGGAGGTTCCTTTTTTGTAGTATGATAGCATATAAGGTGGTCGAAGGATGAGATTCATTTCTCATATTTGGTTCGACTGCATATGAGGTTGGAGCTCCCATAGACAAAATAGGATTGTTAGACAAACGAACATCACAATCTCAGCAGCAAATTACCAAACCTTTAAATAAATTCGACATGCAATGTTGTTTTCCAAAGCAAAGGAATACACAACTTGCCAGATTTATTCCATTTATTATCTCTTACCAAAAAAATAATAATAAATAAACAAGATCATCCAAAAAGCATTCAATATCATCGGTGAGCAATCTTGACTTCAGGTCGTAACTGAAAATGCACTATAGTATCATTATGCTATTATTCTCAAATCAAATTTCTATGAGAAATGTTCATGTGGGTTTTCTAAGATAAGAAGAGTACGTATGAAATAACTAAGAAAGCATATAGATGATTAGGAGCCACATAAACATATCTCCGTCATAAAACCAGATATAAGCAAGTAAGGTAAATTTTATACACTAGATGCAATAAAATGCACCCAAACCTTTCGAGAGTAGCTTTTGTAAACCACGGTGCATCACTGCCAGTTTCTGGTTCAAGCAAGATTGAATAACCACCTTCAGCAATTTGATCTTGAGCAGTCTTCAGATGTGCAAGAAATGGACTTAACAGTCCCGAAGCAATTTTCTCTTTCTTGCCGTTTGCTATGATGATCAAGTCACACCTGATATACAGAGAAACACCGATATTAAACTTAATTGCTCCAACACACTTCAACTGCATAACCATCGCATTGGAAATTAGGACACTAAAACCAATCGATTTCATAAACAACCCCACAGATAACTCCATCCTTCAATTTTCAGAATCTTTTCTAGAATAGACTTCGTTCGCAATCCCCACGTCCCCAGCTAATTATGGTACCGACACCACAACACTTATCATCAACCATCAATTCACTAACTAAAAGTACAGATGAGTAAAAACTGCAAATTCACATGTACACAAATGACAGTAATTCAAAGGGAGAACTTCTAATGAAAGTTCTACATGATGGATACTATGCATGCCAAAATCTCCAAACACGGTAACAGACAAATACAATTCGCGAAAACCAGCCCAAAATAAGACCATTGAATAACTCCACACCATCAATTTATTTATTTACACCAGCACAAAAATCAAAAACAAAATGCCCACACATTCAAAACTACACAACAAAATACGAAATAACACGAAAATCACGAACGAGATAGATATATCATATATACCTTGTTCGAGTCGGAGTGAGCTGAAAAACAGCGGAGCTCAGGCGAGTACTCTGCTTCATATCTTACAGTTGCGCTTCAGATCTCACCGGAAAATAATGCCTGGAAAAATGTTAGTCGCTCAGAGCGAGAGATAGAGAGAGAGAAGGTGAAGTGTTCGAGGAAATGCGTGACAGAAAATCAGCGGCGATAGAGACAAACAATTTGTATGTATGTATGTGCGTATGTGTGTGTGTAAAGTGCGTGTGAGAGAGTGTGGCATTGGCGAATGATTGATTAAATGTTGAAGAAAGTAATTTCTGCTATTTGTAGAAAATAATTTAGATAAAGATTTGTAGGAAAGTTGATTCTGATAATTGTTCTGCCGACGGTGGACAATCGAATGAGTTTCCTTTTTTAATTGCGCTTTTATGTTTTAATTAATGATTAATTAATAACTCTTTTTGCAAAAATCCAAAAAAGAACAACTTTATTGTTTAATGATGATAAGTAAATATAGAAATCGGATGAATTGGATCGGAACTGGTTTTTTCGTCTTTCGGGTGGAATAATAATCGAGCGACAGAAGACTAATTCCAATTCAATTTTTTTAAAAAAATTGAATTTGAAACTTCAAAAATTGGAATGGGAAACTTTTGGAGTGGAATTGCGGTATTCGAAAATTCGATTTTGTATTGACTTAGAATTTTAGATTTCATAATAACATTGATAGTGTAAAATGTAATTTGTAAAATACATCGATTTTTTCTTATCGGGAATGGATTATGGAAATCGCAATCTTATGTATATTACAATTTCAATCGAAACAATTTTAGAAAATCAGAAACCGAATTTTTCAGAATTCAAAACGAAAAAATATTGATAGACATGAGATTTATTTTACAAAATAAAAAAAATGTGGATAATATTTTATATGTGGATTGAAATAATTTCAAATTTCAAAGTTCAAACATCGTATTTCTGTCATTTAAAAATATCAATACTGCATTAATTAATTTATTATATATTTGCCCTTACTTTTAATTTTATCAAACATTAACTTTCACATGTGGATAAAGTAAATAATAAAAAAAAATGGAAGGTCAATTTAGTTCCACTTCCATTACATATTATTTTAATTCAATTTTATTAACTTTTCTAATGCATGCTCACAAATATAAGTATTGCATTGGAAGCAATAATAAGTAGGGAGAAATAAATATTAAATATAGCCATGTTATAATAAATATATATAATGAAATATAGAGGGGCCTTCATTTGGGACCATATTCATGATGAGCAATCAAGAAATAGACAAACACCATTAAATGCCCAACGGGACAATTGTGCTTTCCACAATATTGTTGTTTTTTTACCATCACTTTAATTCTTTTAAAATAATTTTCATTTTTTTAATAAATATGAATATGAACTTTATATACGAATATACAAGATAATTAACATCTTCAATACTATATATTTGTGCGTTCAAAATATAAAAATGTATTTGAACATATAAGAGATTTTTAACAAAAATTGTGATCTATATAGTATACAAATTTCGAGATTCCGGTGGCGATTAAATAACTAGTGAGCCAATTTTTCGATGCTCTAGTCCAGGCGTAATCAAGAATAAACATATTATATACTATATATTTGTACATTCGAAAATATTAAAAGATGATAAACCATATAAGTGATTTTTGACAAAAACTATGAGCTATAGTATACAATTTTTTGGTGATTCTGCTCTAATTTAAAAATTAATGAAACAATTTTTAGATGAACTAGTTGTTGCCTAGTTATGAAAAAAAATCTTCTATACTATTCATTAGTGTGTAAGAAAATAAATAAAAATAATAATAATTTCAACATGTAATTAATAATTAGCAAAAAATGTGAGTTATTTACCTATTTGTGTATTAAATACATTTCCAAGTATTTATTTGAATGTGAATAAATATACAAAATAATTGAACATTTAAGTTATTTTTAGCAAAAACTGTTAGCTATAATAGCATACAATTTTCTGTGTTTTTTGTTTACGATTCAAAAACTAGTGAAACAATTTTTAGATGAACTAATTCATACATAATTACGAATAAACACATTCTATAATATATATATATATATACACACACACACGCGCGCTTTATAAATATAAAAAAAATGATTTTGAACATATAAGCGATTTCTGAAAAAATATGTGAGCTATAGTATATACAATTTTCTGTGTTTTTTGCTTACGATTCAAAAACTAGTGAAACAACTTTTAGATGAACAAATTCATGCATAATTACGAATAAACATACTCTATGATATATGTACGCGCATTATAAATATAAAAATAATGATTTTGAACATATAAGTGATTTCTGAAAAAAAATGTGAATTTCGCTTGACGATTAAAAAACATAGTACGTACCCAATGACAACATACAGTAAAATAATAACACACAACGTATAACCTCGTTCGGGTAATACCCCAACTTCGCAGCCAAAATTAATATTATCCCAAACACCTTAATGGTTCAACACACAAACTGTTAGCTCGATTTTTTGTTCGACCCAATGCGGGTCGGACCGGATCAGTATGGATCCATATTACCACACCTAAATTTAAATATAAACTTCAAGAATTAGGTAATGGTGATCATCTCTCTTTCTAGGACCAAGAACACAAGATCAAGAAAAACGAAACGAAATTTCCAGAGAGCACCTTTTACTGCAACAATCATGTCTTCATTTGTACATCGTAAAAGTAAATACCCATATTTTTTTGCCTTTCTAATAAGCGACTAACCTTGCCATCAGTATGCAGAGGGTCACAGTCCTGAGAGTTAAAAGTCTCTTTGCCTGAAATCCCATTCAACAATTTCCCTTGTGCGTACTTTCACCGGGACAATGGAGAATATGCAGAAACGAATCTTTTAAAGAACACTGAATTATAAAATACGATAGCATCAAATGAATGAACTAACTTCGTTTGACATATTTACACTACTTAATTCAATAAACTGAAAGTCTGCTCACCTCTTTGGATCAGGGTTCCGAAATGAAGTAGTGCATACTTCTCTCTCTTCATGCTGCTTCATGGTATAAAGCCTGCAATGCCAGAAATCAGTTATATACAGCATACAGAATAATCGACTCGATACTAGTGGAAACATAAAGCTTATACACGAAGTTTTTTTTAAATAAATAGCGAAGAACAATTTATGTAGTGTTTATCTACAAAATGAAAAAGCTGAGGTACCAATCATATTCGGAGCTCAGACATGAGAATAACATGACATATATCCTAGGATAGGCTAAGAATTCGACATATGGCCATTCTACCTTACATATGACATCACTCCTACACAAACTCTACAACAAAAGAACATATATATAGAGGATTATCACAAAATTTAAAGAGTCATGGCCCCACAACTTCCACACACACACACACACACACACACACACACACACACACGCACACACACACACACACACACCAACCCCACCACACACACGCAAGAGTCCCCGCTCCTATTCATAGTTTTTGTGCAACTATTTTGGTACGAACATATGAGTCGGATTTCAACCATTATTCCCAGCACACCATTTCTCAAGAAAATCAAGGATTTCAACAATGGAACGTAAAAAAACGAACATGAAGACCAAAGAAAACCAGAAATACACGAATGCAACAAAACCAATGATATAGTAATCGCAGTTCGGTGATAGATCAAAGTGATTTCAGAAAACACATTTGTCACGAGGAAAGATCAAGCCAATTATTTTGTATCAGAACGGGCTATTTCGACCTACAATTGCAATTTAATTTAATTTGGGATATGTACATACGTGTAGGGTGGTTATCTGTATTGACCCTTAATGCATCTAGACATGTATGTATATGTCACATGCGAAATATCGAAGAATAATAACCAATGGAATTCATTTCTCATTTCCATTCTAATAAAAACTTCGCATCACAATAATGGCGTAAAAATCTCCTCTCCATTTTCATCAGTAACCAGATAAGGGCAAATTATTTTTTTTGCATTTTCCTCATTCAGTTTCAAATGGGAATTAATTTACGATAAAAAAAAAAAAAGATAAAAAAAAACATTTCTTTATTAAAAACATAGTACTAATTGTATGAAAACGCTATTACAGCATTCTTTGAAGGAACAGGAAAACAACCATACAAAAAGCAAAAACCATGCGCGCATATCCAGCTAGAATCACACTAATGCAATTAATGAGTCTTTTAAAGCTTCAATTCCAAATCTATCTCAGCCACCACGTCTTTATTGTCCTCCTCGTCTTCATTATTGTTCTCCTCGTCATCACTTATGATAATAATATCCGGAATAATAATCTCCGGAACAATAACCTCCGGAATAATAACCTCCGGAATAATAACCTCCGGAATAATAATCTCCGGAACGGGCTGTACGGGCCGCCTGATTTGGGGATTCATGGATCTAGAAAGGCGCAATTCTGCCCCAGTTATCTCCCTTATATGTAAGGGAGGTAAATGGGCCGAACCATTAGCAAAGCTCCTTGCGCCTAATTGAGGATACATTAATGGTTCACTTGATGAAGAAGCAGAAGTAGATCCGTAGTGGCTTATGTTTGGATGGGGGGTTGGTGGTGATAGATTCGCACGAGCATCAAAAGATGCCTTTCTCCTTTTCTCCAGAGAAGAAGAAAACTGCGACAAGTTCAAAGAAATTTCGTCTTCGATGTGACACTCAAAGTGCAACACGAGGCTGACGTTGTCATAAAAAACTCTATCACATACACGACATGCAATTGGAACTGAACGAGAACTCTTAGGACTTCGAATGGTTTCCGATTCATCAACTTTTCGGAAACCAGAAATTGGCTTACTCAGAGACATGGTGTATATAAATGCAGTTAAAGATTGGAAAGAAATCTAGATTTCTAAGGCTGAAAAGACAGCCTTGAAAATTAGAAAAAAAATAAAAACGAATTGATTGGTAAGAAATCTAGATATGAAAGAAAACCTAGAAAGCAAAGGGAGGGCTAAGGTAGAATGAAGGGAAGGCGATGCAATAGGTGTGTGCCAGGAAACATCCAATTTATAGAAAAAAAAGAGGGCAGGCCGTTCAAATCCTATCTGTGCTCACAGGAAATAAGTGCTCCTATTCACTGGCAGTTATTGTAAAATACAATGTTGAACGGGGCGTTGAATGGATTAGTTAGAACCAATTGTATTTGTCTCACCTAACAGCGAATCGTTTTTAAATTTTAAAAAATGTTGTCGTTATTGGAAAATGGAAATTGTGGATGCACGCTAATTACTTAGTTGGCACATGCTATATGCTGTATCAGGCAAAAATGATTCACGTAATTTTCATGAATGATTTGAGAAAAAATCTCAGTAATTAATACACACACACACACACACACACACACACACACACACACACACACACACACACACACATATATACATTAATATTTTTTAAAGAATGTAGCCATTGTAGAAATCATTACTTCGAAATTTACCAAAATTACGAAAAGTTTTAAGTCTAATAAAGAGTATTCACCTTATTAACAAAATCCATAGTCACCTTATTAACTAAATCCGTAAATTACTTGAACCTCACTGTCAATTTGAAATCTGGCTCTGTATTTCTGGAATCTAGTAATGATATTTAGTGTATATGCACTTTAATTCTATGAATAGTGCTACAAGAAAGAAAAGCAGAAGACATTTAATGACCAAGAGGAAAGAGATTAGAGGAAAACTGCAAATGAACCAATTTAATCATCAAATAAATGTACCATCATTTGCGACACGTTACCGAATATGTAATGCAACTTCCAAAAGCAATTTGCTGGTCTATATAAAATTAGGAACTTTGATTCTCTACTCAAAGTTAACATATGAAGAAACTTATGTACTTTCTCATGCAGAGTTGCCTTAATGCATCTATTACAAAAATTTGTATGATTCTCCCTAAACCCGAGACCCACCCTAACACGCTTTAGAGTTTGTATTAAACCCAAACTTGTCTCAATCCATACCCGAATTTAACAAGTCCGGCCCACCAAACCCATTACCACGAAACAAAACAACTTGATCTTTTAATTTCCTTAATATTTTACACGTATATTTATAATAAAAATTATCTCAAATTCAAATGCAACATTATTTCAAGTAGATAACAAAAAAATATCATTAACTGTTATTGATGGTTTTGCTTTAGACTAATGGTATTGGCTTCTTTTGCGTGGGGGTTCAAATTCCTTTGAGTGCGTGTGTTGTAGCCTTGTAGGCAATTATAATGCCACTTTGTTTATTTTTAAAATAGAAACATATAGTTAGAAATATTTGACTACTACAATAAATAAAGTTAAATTCAAATAAAAAATAATATCTCACTAATACATATTCATTTTCTCTATTGCAAAACCTACATATACCACAATCATATTGATTATCTCTATAGCCCTATGAAAGAAAAGGAGTAAAATTAAACGTGAAACTGTAGAAATTAAAAGCAACTATCTGGGTTGGTATTTATATGGGGCCTTCTAGGTTAGTTCTTATACAACACGTTATCCGACCTAAAATCGGATGGGTCTAATAACCTAAACTCATTACCCGTCTTAGAACCATATAACTTACCCAAACCCGACCCAAGAGGGTCGGTTTCGGGTCTAAAACCTGACCCATTGCCATCCACAGGAATGAATGAGATCTTTTCCATTTCTGTTATCCTACTCGACAAATAATATTCACATTCTTGCTTTTACTTTATAGTCTTATCTTAAATATATTTCCAACACGATCATATGCTTAAACAAGATCTTTCTTCACAGAGGTTTTGAAATGGCTAACTTTCTATTACATCTAGATGAATTAGCATATTGAACATACTCGTGTCTATTGAACTTCTGCACTAGACAATGATATGTTAACAATTTCCAACTAATTACAAAATCAAGATATAAGCCGCATGAAAGATGTTTCTATCATGGCATGCAAAGTTTTCCAATCTTTTCTAACATCGGATACCAATTTTTAAGTCTCCCTCTAATGTTACCGTAACGTTAGAAAACAGACAAGACCACGAACACGACAGATTTAACCATTTCAAACTTATATATGCCTTACGGATAATATTGTCCAGTAGCAACGAGACAATTTTTCAAATATATAAGACAGATAACTGGAGCTTAAAACCCAAAAATAAAAATATGCACCGATGATTCAAAAGCAGAAAATGAACAGAAGAAATATATAGCAATGCCATTTCTTACAATCACAAAGCTATATTTTACACGCAAAAGTTCCATCTTAACGAAAATCGGGTTCGCCTGCGCTATGTTCGTCATCTCTAAACTATTTACTCATCAAAAGCGCAAGCCAGTAAAATACGCAGAATCAAGTCTGCCCATTTCAACATCTTGCTTAAACATAAACGAATTTTCTAGTTTGATACATCGCGAAAGAAAATAAAAAAATGGTGGGCTATTGAATGTACCTTGTACGCAATCCAATGGTTTGGCCCGAGGGAGGATTACTGTGTGCGCTATCGATGCCTTCCCCGAAGAAAAATCTCGCAGTTCCGCCAAAAATTAGTAGATTTGATCGGATAGAGCATAATTATGCGCGTAATTTGTTGTTTGGGAATTAGGGTTCTAAAAGAGAGTGATGAAGATGGACGCTTACTGGGAGAGTCTGAAATGAGGTGGATCTTTTCAAGAGAACAAATTATTATATATTTTTTCAATTATTTATTAATAATATTTTTTATTTTTTTTGAAGAATGAAATGATATTTATTTATATTTATATATATATTTAAGAAGGAAGATTTTATATTTATAGTCAGAAATTATTGATATTATTAAGACTATATTATTTAAATTATTAACGATATTAGAAATTAAATTATGCATGTGTATATTGTAAATTTTTGCGCCATGAAGAGGTGTTCATTCGGTAAAACCGTACCGAACCGTACCGGAATCTCGATAAACCAAAATTTCGGTACTTCAAGAATTTGTACCGTTTACCGAACCATACATTTTTTTATCGAATTAATTCGGTTCTTCCGGTTCGATTATTCCTTACTACCACCCAATGAATCCATACACGTATATAATATCCATACATATTTTACAAATGGTGATTGTATGCAAGTCAGATATAAAAAAAAAAACTACCCAGTGTACAGATTCCATATACGAGACCTGCAATATAGATGCAACGAGTCCATCCCACGTAGAATTCAACACTCTTCCCACAAATTAATCAAAAATAAAAATTACGCAAGAAAACCCCCAACAATTCGGACAAATTAAACATCATCGTCTTTAAACAAAAGGAGATTATAGCATGTGTGCCATAAGGCACCATACACGTACACCGTTTTCCGAGACCAATCAACTAGTACACCCACATACAACGATTATAGTTTTTTCCCCTCAGCAATATATATATTCACCTCTCAAGGGTATTTTACATATCAAATATATCATCGAATCAAGAAATTAAGTAACGAGTAGTAAATGCATTCAGAACAAACATCTCAAATTTTTCGAAGGTTTTCTTCTCTTTTTCTTAAAACTCTCTCACCGGTAACAACATTACAGTGTGTGTTTAGTAACACTCGATTTATTATTATTTCCTTTTGCCAGCTCCAATAGTCAACAGCTCAAAGCTTCTTAGGGTTTCGTCACGAACACCTCTCGTAGCAGAAGCACGGGTGAAAGAAGAAGACTTGGACTCAAATCCAGGCTGTAATCTTTGAGTGGTGGATATCCGACCACTTCCCGAGCCTAGCCTGCTATGACGATTCTCACTCGGCTCGCCAGACGAGCTGGGCCTACTGCTTGATACTACGGCCCGCTTTGAAGTACTACTCGGCCGAGAAATCCGGTTTCTTTCCGAATCAGTTTGCTGGAGAAATCAACAAGCAATTTAAACATTTACGAAAATTCAAGAATTCGTTTATGAATGCATGTAGAGATAAAGAAAATGGCAGGGTTCTCAGATAAATAATAGCTAAATAAAGGGGTTTATTGCATTCAACACCCCTGTGCTTACTCTAATTCATCAAAAACTCATGTGTTATTATTAATATTAGAAAATACTTATTACCTAAATAAAGGGTTATTTTTAATTATTATTATTGTTTTGCCCGTTTCTTCCTATCATTAGCATGTGTCTATTTTGGCAGCTGTTATGTTTAGCCAATGTTTGGGCTATAATAGCGTGTATGAAACATTGATTTATTTCGTTGATTTTTCATTTATAGACAGGTT